ATGTAATAAATCAAACACAGTGGCACCCTGCCTACCTCTTTCCAATTTGGGAACTGCTCCCTTATATACACTTACTTCTATATATGACATAATTAACCAATCGGAAGCTCAGAATGCCCCTCTAGTGGTTTTCTCATCCTTTCTAACGTTCCTTCTGCCATTTCTTTCTTTTGAATCAAGATTTCAATGAGGTAGGTTGTGTCTTTAGTCTGTTCGAAATTTCATATTTGTTTTAGACCCAAATACAGCTTAGTTACTAAGCTTGATAAATTATAGTAGAATTCTATGGTATTGATGTAGTAATTTATGATTTTTTAGTTATTCAAATGTATATATATAAAACCTAAAAAAATATTTTTTCATATCCTCCATGTGCAAAATTTTTAAAGGCTTAGCAACCTATGTCAAGCAGCCACCAAGTACAAAGGTCATAACTAGAAGAGATAATTGTTTGCTTTACTTCTTTATTTACTGCTCTATGTTTTAAGAGAAATATGTTTAAGAACTTATTTCTAAATAGCAATAATCTCTATACACTCACTATAATAATTGAAATGTGACCGTATTTTACAAAATACTAGTCTACTAAAACACAGCCAAGACTTAGTAAAGATTAAAGGTCAATTTTATGACATTGGGTACAGTAGCATGAGTGCACGTGTGCCTCGTCATCGTAACTTCTGTATGGTTAGCCAGGCACGGCTGTAAGGTCAATATATTAAAAATAACAAGCACAAAATTGTTATGAGGTAGGTCCCAGGAACCAGGAAAGAGTTAAAAAAAAAAAAAGAACAAGTTAAAAGATATTAAACCATCCCATCACCTATGACCATAAGATAATATTTTCCATCCCCAGAATCATTCTAGCAGCCCTCTTCTGAACTTTTTGCAATAAGTCAACATTCTTTCTTAGGAAACCAATTGCTCTAGTATGACCTTTCTTATGTTTTTTAAGATAATTTTGTACTAACATTCAGTATTTTACACTTCCTTCAAAATATGGCTAAACTCTCACGCCTCTTCAGGTCATAGCATCTTAACCTAAGGAAAAAAAGCATCCACTTCTTTAGGTCATAACATCTTAACCTAAGGAAAGAAAGCATCCACCTCTTTAGGTCACAACATCTTAACTTAAGGAAAGTGTGAAGAAATACAATGAAAGAAAAAACAAACAAAATGACAGATTGGTCCTTTGAGTTCTCTTCGACCAAAATATCAAAACTAAATTATATGTAACTCCTCACATCTCTATACCTATCTAAGTAGTTTAAATTATTCAGAATTGGACACATCGCACCATTATATAAAAATCTGAGAACTTGTATAAACAACTAACCTGCTTCTAACTTAAAGTTGTATGTATTACTTTCAGTAATCAAGTACTCATATCCATCTTTTTTTGTTTTACCATTCCTATAGATCACTTGAAGTAAGACTGTCTTAAAGTCGATCAATTTTTAACACTTGGATCACATTTCCTCTTATTTTTCTGTGCTTCATAGAAAACAGGTTAAAACTTTAAGCCTCCTGATATCTTAAACATCAGATAACCAAATATCATTGTAGAAGCTTATCCCTGCCTTCATCACCATTTATTGTTATTCTTTCTGTGTTCAGGGGACCAAAATTGCATTTATGGCTCCAAATGAAGCCTAACCAAAATATGTACAAATTGTGGTACCTTCTTGTTTTTAAATTAAGAATTTTATAAGTAAAAACAAGAATTTTATTTGTGTACAGTTTCAACTTCTGTGAGAGCTTTCATGATGTTTGGTGGAAAAGTTGACATTTTTACTTGTATGCTTTCTAGTTTAATATTTCATTCTGACACACACTCACAAATGTCCTTTGGTAGATTTGTATTTAAAATTTACTTTATCTAGATCTAGATGAGCATTCTCAAACACTAACAATACAGTGTGAATGAAATTCTTTATCGATACATAAATTATCAAATTAGTTGTATGAGGGCAATGTGGAATTTTTGAAGGCTAAATTATTAATGTTAATGAGTGAAAACAACTGACAACATAGCAGAAAATTCATTATAAATGTAATTTTCACAAACATGCAGTAATAAAAATATTGAATATCTACTAAGATTTTGTGTACCATTTTTAAAATTCATCCATCCTTTGTAATGGTACATGTACCACTGGTTGATTTACTGTATTTTACTACTTCTCTAGTGTCTTTAACTTGAGTCATTATTAAACAATTATTTTCAAAATGCATATTTTGATTGAGAATTTAAGTATCTGCAGTTACTGCAACAATAAATCTATTTCAATTATTTTTACAGGCTGAAAAATAAGAAACCAGACTTAATCTTCAGGAAGGTGACTGTTCATTACTGTTGCAAACATACAAACTTAAGACATTTCTTACAATTTGTGTCATCTCTCATGTATGAGCACCTGGATTTTTGCTGTACAGTCCTATGAAGCTGCTTGGAAAGTAAATATTTATCTATATATTAATAATGATAAATTGGTAGTAACTGTATATTCTGGTTTCTATTTTACTATTTTCTGAATATTGGCAGATGTTGCAAGATAAAAGGTACATTGGCGTGTAAGCATTCATGTGTTTTAAATTTGAAAGTTACCTACAATGATTTTTATTTTATTCTTTCAGGACAGGACTTACCACTTTTTTCTGTTTTTAGAAAAATATTCTTTGTTTATAAAAATATTATAAAATGCTATAATTATTTTTACTGAGATAGTTACTATAGGAAGAAATGTTTTCTGATGCATGAAGTCTGAATTTCTTATCTGTTAGAAATGAATTATTACTAATTATACATAATAAGAAAACACTCACAAATGTTTTTTTGGAAATATTGGCATTAAATTAAAAAAATGATTTTTGAATAGATGAGATTGAATGTGAGAATGTGACATACATATGGACAAAAAGGAACCATTTGTTCATTCCTTTCTGTTCTTGAACACCCACCCTTGAGAAAGGTAAAAATTTAAATTCAAAATCCTTTATTTTCCAGGAAATTATGAGTTCCCCTCTTAAATTCCTTTAAAATGCTGACATGACTACTAATTACAGTAATGCCTTCACTTTGTAGAGAAAAATTGTCTTAACTGGAGCCTAACTTGTCTTTTTTGAAATCTTGTACTTGTGTTCTCTTTGTCTTGTTATTTTCAGAGTATAGCAAAATGAAATGAGAGACCTTTATCCTAGTGATCCCCTGAATAATCTTTTAAACTTCAATAAGATCATCTTTTACTCTTCTTTTCTACAAATAAAATAATAATATCTTAACCTGTAAGATAACTTTCCCATCTACACAATCTTCCTCATAGCCCATCTCTGAATTATTTCCAATAAGTCAATATTCTTAGACAAGGAGACCAACAGCATACACAGTATTCCAAATGAAGCCTAATTAGTGATTTGCATAAAGAAGGAATAACCTCTTTTGACTTATCATAAAAATGTCAATAAATTCACTAAAATTCTGTTAGCTTTACTGCTAGTAACAGAGCACTGCTTTGATGGCTTGAATGACTTTATCCATCTCTCTGCCAAGGGCATTTGAATTTAAAGATAGATTACTGGATTAAATCTTGTAAATTTTAATACTGATAGAAGTTCTAGCTATTTAGGCAGTATTCAAAATTTTATCTTTTTTTCTGTATGTTTGACTGATAGTTTAATGTTGAATCTTATTCAGTTGAGGTGGTTTCTGATGCTCCTGTAGTTTCTTTGTTTCAATTAAAATTAAATAATGAGCATTTTGATGTTAAATATGGGAAGTAGTATAGCTGTCATTAAAAGTTCTGTTGAAGTTTAGATTTATTTAGGTATTTTTTAAATGTTTAATAAAAGAAAAATAGCTTATTGTGTGCTTAAAAATAAATTATAGATATCAGAGGAAGTGTTTCTGCATTGTGCTTTGTTTAAGGAAGGCATTCCTAGGTTCAATAATACTTTTTAATGCCAAATTAATATTTTAATAACAAAAGATAGGAACTGTTTTTTGTTGCACTATTATCTCTACTGAAGTTATTTGAGGAAACACTTTTGTACGTTTCATAAAAAATGTACTTGTTTTAATAAGTAAAAATATATATGAATAGGAAAATAGTAGTTTTATTAAATGTAAACTTGCTGCTTAATTTTTCTATTTTCTTCGTAATTGTTTTTTCAACCTGACAGGACAAGTCAGTATTTAACATTCAAAATGGGAAAGACAAGTAAAAATTATATTAGGGGAATTAAATAGTAATAAAAGTATGTTGCTAGAGGTTGTCAGAAATGCTAATGTGTTGAACTCAAGTTTTAATAATGTTCTAAATTGATTGTTATATAAATTGTGTGAGAATTTTCATTGGTTAACAAATTGTAATTATGATTTAATTTTCTATTGTTTTGAAAGTGATTATGCTTCTCTGTTTTTTATGATATTGGTTGATCCAGAATGCCACTTAATCCTGTTAATGTGATCTAAAACTGTTATAGACTGAGATAAAGTAGTAACTGTTTTAACACTGTAATACAGTAAACATAAAACTTGTACACTTCGTGAAACTGATATATCAGGTACTACACAGCTTCACTCAATAATAATAATAATACAGAAAAAATTATCCATAATTGTTTTTACAAGTTTCTTGAAAAGTTTCAATCTTCTTTATGTTAAAATAGCTCATTCTGCACTTTTTATGCTATAATTTGAAAACACAGGTTATAGTAATATTGACATTAGAAATCAATAATTCATTCTGTACTTTGTATGCTATAATTTGAAAACACAGGTTATAGTAATATTGACATTAGAAATCAATAATTCATTCTTTACTTTGTATGCTATAATTTGAAAACACAGGTTATAGTAATATTGACATTATAAATCAATAATTCATTCTGTACTTTGTATGCTATAATTTGAAAACACAGGTTATAGTAATATTAACATTATAAATCAATAATTCATTCTGTACTTTGTATGCTATAATTTGAAAACACAGGTTATAGTAGTATTGACATTATAAATCAATAATTCATTTTGTACTTTGTATGCTATAATTTGAAAACACAGGTTATAGTAATATTGACATTATAAATCAATAATTCATTCTGTACTTTGTATGCTATAATTTGAAAACACGGGTTATAGTAATATTGACATTAGAAATCAATAATTGCATGTCATTATAGTTGATGAATATCATACTCACTGTTCTTAGAATTTTTAACTTAATTCATTTTAAGTTCCTCGTAAACAGATAACATGATGTGTTGAATCTGTAAATGAATTATTCATTGTAGATTTTAGTTAAGATTTGCTGCAAAGGAAATTGGTGTAAACACACATGTTTAAAATATAAACAACATGTTTAAGCATTAATTTAGACTACTCCTATATTTGTGTGGAAGTGTCTTTTTGAGTTGATAACATCTTGAAGAAAAATATAACTTGCTGTGTTGAGAATCTTGGAGCCTGTATACACGTTCTTTTCATAATGCAATTGTACATATAAATAAGTGAATTTAATAGAAAATAAAGCATGTTCTGCAATTTTCAAATTTTAAATTGTTTTCCCAGTAAGTTGTTTGTATAATCAATATTTTTGTGTTGCTTGTATTATACACTGAAAAATAAATCTAAGTTTTTGCATGAATGTTTTTATTCTACAAAAAAGTGATAAAACTCTTGTCTTTATATGATTGAATGATGCAGTTTTTTTCCTTTCTTGACTTTTATGTTTTGTTTTTATTTTTGCTGATATAGTAAATATTTCACAACTTATCTTCAATGCATTAGGCAGGTTTTAGTTTGTTATTTAACAACACCCATCATATACCTACCATTCCTAAGTCTGAAACTATCCATCTAACTTTTATTTATTACTCTGAGAACATTCAGTTTGGTTTCGAATAACGTTCAAAGTTTTAGTTCTTACATATTTTGTATACCGTGGCTTATCAAAGTAGGTGTATGTGACATTTGTAACATATTTGCAGCTAATAAAATTACTAGTAATTATCTATTTAAACATTCATTAGTGAATGTAAAATAAACAGTATGATGAATCTTTGTTAAAACAATAAATTGGTAAGTATAAAGAGTATCTGGTCATAATCAAGGCTCCTCGTTACATATGTTTTAATATGCAAAATGGACTGTTTACATGATGGCATAGTATAGCATTCTGGGAGGTTTTGATAGCACTTAGACTAAACAAAACAAGTCCTCTCTTAGTGTCACCCTCATGGTCATATGCTGACGTTTTGTCTGTTTGTTCATCAGCCATTCATACAGAAAAATATACCTGCATATGAAGATTTTCATTAAATTAATCTCTTTGTCAGGCTAGAGAATTGTGTTACAGATGTTGTCAATAAAGGTTTGTTTTATTATGAAAGCATTCTTCCTCAAAATTCTCTGGTCTGATATGATTAAAATGAGACTTTTCCCTCATAAATTGACCCTGGTATGCTTGGAGGAAGAAAAAAAAAAAGGTGCATCCTGTACCTGCAGTAAAACATGAAGGTGATTTGATCATGATATGGGAATGTTTCAGCAGTTCCAGCTGATGATACGGCAAGTGCAAGAGAGCCGACAACAGGCAATGAACAATGCCAACAACTCTTGGAAACTAATGAAACCCAAGGTTCCTGGACACCAACTTGGAGGGGGGGGGGGAGTGCAGTGGATAACTTGCACCAAATTGTTCAGTGGTTAGCCCAGATCTCTCCTAGATGGATGGGTATGTGACTGTCAGAGTACAAGGGTGGGAGATAGAGTTCCTGGTTTATACGTGAATAGCCATAACATTAGTAGATCTTATAGTATATACCAGATGCTTGAAGTAAAACCAACATCTGACATTTGTTCTGGCAAATGAAGATAGACTGTATATGAGTGGAGATGTATCTCTCTTATTATGTCTAAGAAGCATTTCTCACAGAATGAAGGTAGTTGTTTTTGGTAACCTTGGTTCTTGCATCAGTATTATCAGGATTGATTTACTGCAGAGCTTATCAGCCAAACTCTTCTGTGGAAAGGTTCTGTAGGAGAGTTAGCTGATGTCAGCTAGACCAGATACATGAAGAATGGACTGCATGGGTGTATGTGGGAAAGGAAATTAAGTGGTAGTCTGTGATTTACTCTTAGTGCATTGATGCAAAGCCATAATGCCCATAGATGAAATAAGCTGTTTTATGTTCAGAATGAAAGCAGCATGAGCTTTGGCAGTTGTCTGTCCAAGGAGATAGGAAGTTCCAGTTGTTCTTCAATTATGTATGACCAGTTAATCATCTTCATGTTGGAATTGTCACTGGCATGGTAAGTGAAGCATAAGTAGCTGAGGCTAGTGGTAATATTAGGGTTGTATCCATTGCACTTCAAGTACAGTACTACCAATGCATTTGAGTTTGTTACTTAGGGATTGTACAGACAACCTAAACCCAATGCAGTAGCAGCAACTCGGAGACTAGTTGGCTGAACTTGCTGATGTATTTGTGGAACCAGATGGCTGATTGGGTTGAGCAAGTGTCATAGTGCATCATGCTGATAAAGGTAATGCCCATCCAATTAAACAACTATCACACAGGATTCCCTGGAGCATTGTGGATATAGCCAGTTTTGGGGTATAATAGATGTTAAAGGGTGAGACCATACAATATTTGGTAAGTTCTCAGTCGTCTTTAGTAGTGATTGCTAGAAAGTAGGAAGGTACACCCAAGCTATGTACTGATTTTAGATGAGTGAATGCAATATTTCACATTGATATCTTTCCACTACCATGAAGAGATGAATGTCTGGATGCATTGGAAAGGGCTTGGTGGTTCACTAGATTAGACCTGGCATTAGGATACTGGAAAGTCGAGCTGGATGACAACAATTGACACAAGATTACTTTTACCATAAGAGATGGGTTGTTTGATTTTACTGTCTGGCTACGTGTAATGTGACTGCCACTTTTGAGAGTCTGATGGAGCTTTTGCTTAAAATGTTGCAATGGGAGAAGTGTCTGATCTGTGACTGAAAACCTGAAATTGGTTTTTCAACAGAGAGACTTGAAACTGAAACCAGGAAAATGTGCATGGAAGTGGAATTTCTTGGTGATATTGTGGATAGAGGAGGAATCTCCATGGATTCAACTAAAACAACAGTGGTGCAAGATTGGTCTCAGCCTGTGACCAAGTGAGAAGTCTACATTTTCATAGGGCTTGCATCATACTATCGATGGTTTATGGCCAACTTCTAGATCATCACAGCATCATCAATCCTCACGAAGTTGAGATGTGTGTTTCAGATGAAATAATGAATGTGAGCAAGCACTCCAGTTCCTAAAGCCTTTCTCACCTTCATCATTTCACCTGAAATACATTTCAACTTTGTGAAAATTGGTAACATTCTTTAGCACAAGAAATCTCCCATTTACCCAGGGTGACTTGCAATACTCGTGTGACTGGTTATGCAACATAGGTCAAGCCCTGACCTCTTTATATATCGCCTCAACAACCATTGAAGGACACTGTTGTCCGCAATTTTACACATGTTGTATGAAGCAATGTTCTTCCCAGGTGGCAACAGATATTATCCATTTCCAAGAACAACAAAGATAAATTGACACAACATCAACTTTACAGCTTTTCAATCATATGCTATGTGAAATCTGCACGTATTCAGAACCAGAATTAATTCAAAATAAATATTACAAGAAGATAAAACAGATGATGTACATTTTCAGTAGTAATTTCAATAATATTTCACAAGGTTACTTTTAATTTCATGTAATAAACTAACAGTGAACAATAATCCTCGTAAATATAGACATAATTATAAAAATTAATTTTAAACATTATAATCCACAGAATTTAAGGAAAATAAATGCAAGAAAATTGGAATAGGCAATTACTTAAAAGCCATTGTTAATTCACTGTTAATCTGTTATATATTTATTTTAATATCAACGTTTGTTTGGATTAAATTTATACTTAGAAACATACATGGCTTATGCTTTTAAATATATATTGCAAAACTCTCGCCTATTCTCCAAAGCTGTAGAAGGTTCTCGAGAGTAAGAATCAACAACATGTGTGTATATAAACGTTGTGTTAGCCCCAGTAAAACTGAAATTTCTAGAAAGCCTTCCACACGCCTATAATTATAACCAACGCGATGCGCCAAAAGAAGAGCATCTATTATTAGTTTGCTATGGTCAATGTGCTATAAACTTTGGAAGCTATAACTGTAATTGTTATAACACTTATCAATCGGAAAACTTTAGATATTTGACCAGGATATTTCAGTGGAATCTCATCGGACATTAGTATTTTTACGAAAACATTACATAATGTCCCGGTGGAAAACTCGGTGTGTGTGGCTGGTGAATAACAAGAATAAAGCTAGCTAGCTTCCTGTTAATTAACCCTTTCAACACAGTCTCGGTATGTGGGATCTCATAACCATTGTGTGCTTGTTATAGTTTTCATGCTATAACTTTTAAATTAGTAAGTGTATTGTTATGACAGCAGAAGTCATGTGATGCTGGAAGCATGCGTGTTGGAGTTTCTAGAAGGATCATGACTGTTCCTGGCAACTCTAGTATTTTCTAGGCCTCAGCTCCACTTTTAAAGCTTCCAGATCCCTCACTGCCGTACATACTGGATTGTGATGCTAGTAATGTTGGAACTGGAGGAGTGTTGTCTCAGAAAGTGGGTGAAAACGAACATATGGTGGCCTACTTCAGTAGGGTCCTGAGTAGACCAGAGAGATACTACTGTGTAATACGGAGGGAACTCCTTGCTATAGAAAAGAGTCTGATATATTTCCATCCATATT